TTTGTCACTTTTTACTCGCTGTTACTAGCTTGTCGTAAGATGGTATGACTTGTGATCGCTTGTAATCACTCGTGAAAAATATTTTGTCTGGTGCTTGCAAAATGCTCCACTTTTTTCTGAAGAAGAGTATTACTGATGAAAGCACAAAGTTTTCACCAAACTGAATTCTTCTAGAACCGTCCTTCAAATTTTTCGAGCGGTGCCATCTCAATGTGCCCACAGATAATAAAAATGGCAGACATAAAGAAATATTATGGTGCTTGATTACAATCACATATTCATACAAGTGAAATTTCCTTTGCTTTCAATTACCCATTCATCGTCCAAACAGACACCTAAATTCCAAACACCTCTTGAAGTCGTTTCTGTAATGGAGGCGTATAAATAAGGATTGATGCAACTGTTGGTCCACAACAAATTATTGATTACGTGATATAGCGGGATCGTTCTGCTTGCTATGTAGAGTTCAGTCAGACTGAGGACCTACCAGGGCAGCCAGCAACAAATGTATGCGAAGAATATCACGAGAAGGTTCCGGGTGATTCCTGTACCATCCCTCGTGGGTCTGTTTTTGTGTCGTCTACGTACTGCGTTCGGCGGGTCCAATGCTGGCCGGTTCACCGGTATTTCGGACTCTGGTACTAATGCCTCCGCTGAGGAACTGTCGACAGCGGTGCACTCGACACTTCGGCTTGTGATTACACTCAGTACCAGTTGTTCTTCTGCCTGGATGACGATGTCAATGTTGTTACCAACTCTTTGAGAACGGCCATAGTATCGGTTTCCGGTATTTGTACCTTCCTTGATTGCATTGTGGCCGCCTGGTAAAGGTAAGGCACAGGCAACATCCTGTCGAGTTTCAACATCCGTATTCGTGTCTGGCAGTGTATGGGAGTTGTCGGGCCTTGTGCGGTCTGTCTCTACTTTTCCGCTTTCCACCATGCGACTTTTCGTTGATGGTCACGAAAATGGTGAAAGAGGAGCCCATCATGAGAGTGGGATGGCGAATAGAGCTTGGAACATTGAAAACCCAGCAAAAACCTGTTGGTTTTGTCCTGTGAAAAAGCAAAAGTGGACGTTCATGTTGTGGCCTACCGATCCGAAATCAGAGTAAAGTGGGAGAAAAACTAGCATGCTGAAAAATAAAGAGGCTGTAGCTCGCTGAAAGATGACAAACCACTTGGATGAAAATCTTCGGTATACTTTTTCGGATCTCCTCACTCGTAAGTACCGGGCATGCGCTATCAATGTGAGCTGCTGCAAAGAGAAAGCAACGGAGAACGGTACGGCATAAGCCAAAATAGGGCATCACTTCTCATGACGGGGCCACGCGCCCAAGGAATACTCCGTGGCCAGGCGACAGGGTGCCAACACTGCCGCGATGAATAGGTCCACGCCGGCCAAGATGGTAATGTGGAGCTGCGTTGGTGTGCGAAGGGACCTGGTTGTGGCCACGGCACAGATAGCCAACGAGTTGCCGAAAGCACCCACAATGGAAACCAAGCCGATCAGTACCACATCCACATAAAAAAGTCCCCGGTACTCCTCGGGAAAACTCCCCATCGGCACAACGGGTGTACTATCTGAAGACATTTTTATCCACCTCCAGTCTGACTTTCTGACGTCTGACGGTTTTAATACCGTAAAGTTTGCCCGCTCTGTTTTGTCTCGAGACAATTAGGAAAACCTTCCCAGCATTCATTCTTGAATTATGGCACTGGGGGCACTGACAATGTCTAGACCAACACTGCTAAAGTCTAAAACATTCCTATTCTCGCCAAGAGATTGTCGAAACTTCGTTGAACCGAATTCCTGAACAAAATGAACAAGTGGATAATTTTTCATTATTATTGCACTCTTATTATAGTGGTTTCAAAGGGCTGCTCCTATACGCATGACTAATCCTTTATACGAATTTAACACAGCAATGCGTGACAGGTCTTACTAAACACACAAGTCAATAGTCATGTTAATGCGAAGCCATGGAAACGGCTGGTGTATCAGTTAGTCTTATTACGGTGGTAAGCCTCTGAAATCAATATCAACAAACTATAGACACTTCAATTTATAAATTCTTATTTATGTGCGCATGCGCATAAATGCAGGTGGAGGCAAAAAAGCTCGAGCAGCCCATTGAAAACGTACAGGGGCACAAATTTCAACGTTATTTTCTCACAGCTTTTGCACTTTGTCACTTTTGTCTTCGGAGCTGTGCCATGTACCTGTAGATAGTGTTTGCCCATAAAGGAGAAATTGTTCTTGGTTAGTACAAGTCTCAAAAGCGTCGCGACATCACTGATGGGGGGGAGTTGTGTGTCCACTCTTCATGAGAGCAGAGCTGCAGGCACGAATACCTTCTTCATGGGGATTGTCAGTACAGAGAGAAGAAACATCAAAGATCCCGATGGTGGCTGTGCTGGGAATCTGGTTCTTGATGTTTTCCAGCTTACGTAGGAAGTCTGGCGTGTAGTGGATATATGACGGGATTTGTGAAACGAGGGGTTTGAGGAAAGTGTCAGTGAACAATGATGTGTGTTCAGTGGGCGATCCATTTCCGGAAAAGATGGGCCTCCCTGGATTACCTGCCTTGTGGATCTTGGGGAGTAGGTAAAAGCTACCGGTTTTAGGGACAGAAACTTATCAACTTTCTTGGATAGGTGGTCAAGTGAACGCATATCATCCAGTACCTGCTGAATCTGTTGTGAGAATGTTCCAGTGGGGTCAGAATCGAGGGGGATATAGTTAGTATGATTGTTAAGTTGGCGATGGGCTTCATAAATGTACATGAATTGCTGTCGGCCCATAATTACCACAGCTTAACTTTCATCTGCCGGCTTGATGATGATGTAATTGTGGGAGCGCAGGGATTTGAGTGCTGAACGCTCATCCCTGGAGAGATTATCATGAGGAGTATGACGAAAATGATCAGGGTTATTCGCTTGTGAATGAACAGCATGTGCATAGGTCTCAAGGGCTGGTACACGATTCTTTGGGGGTGCCCAGGTGCTTTGAACACGGAGGGGCTCCTGGTCGCTCGGAGCAGAGTCAAAGAAAAATTCTTTAAGTCGTATCGTGTGGAAGTATTCAGTGAGATCTTGGCTGAGTATTACCTGGTTCACTTTGGGGGGGGAGTGGGACAGAAATATAGACCCTTGAAGAGAAGTTTGTCTTCAGCATCAGTTATAGGCGAAGAAGAAAGGTTGACTACAGTGTTGGAGGTGGTGGATGGTAAGGGTTGGGGCTTTGGATGCCTGAAGCGTCTATGCCTATACGTTGTTTGGCTAAAATGCCACCTACCTTCTTGTTCCTCCTGTCATGAAGAACACAATCAAGATTAGTGAGGCCCATTTCCACCTCAACGCACAGGTTCCTATACACAGCATCGGGTCAGTTAGGTCTAAGTTCAGAATCAAGATGGGCTATGTCCTGGTGCAGGTTCTGAAGTGTGATTTGACACTGCTGAGAAAGAATATTGATTAATTGGATAGAAACACCATGGAGAACTTGATTCCAACTTTTCTGTAGGTAAGGAGAGAGGGTACG